CACTGCATATCTACAGAGGGCTTGAGGTCAACTGGGGCAGATTGTTTTCCCCATGCTGTCAGTTGCATAAGATAATAGGAATACAGATTAGTTCTCAAAAAGTAGGAATGTTATTTCTTTTGAAAATGATTTGGCATTTCTCCTTACTTGTGCTGACTTAACCCACTGCAAATTCTGCTGACTCTTAAGTGGAACCTGACTACTCTTCAGCAAGCCTTTCATTCATCTCTTTTTGATTCCTTTATATACATTGATGATTGCAATTTTGAGACCTTTACCTTTTCTCATCTCCTCATTTCCCCTATTCTCTTCTCTTTCATGTTATATCAAAATAAAGTTCATCAAGGGTAATCAACTGTTCTTTCTGCTTAAACTATTTTTATGAGTTAATATTTTGCTCCATTCCTTTTATCTCAAAGAGGGCTTATAATTCCCGAAGTTGATGGCAGCTTCTACTTCCTTATTATTAAAGAAAAAATTATGTATCAACTGTGTACAAGACAGTTGTGCTCATTGTTTTGACTTCTCCTAACTATTGAATATGTTGACCATTTCTTAATTTTTCAAACAACTCTTCCCATGGTTTTCACTGCTAATTTTAACATATAGTGATACACAAATACATCCTTTTTATTTAAAAATGAAACATAGATAAGGTTAACATCCACTTGAACCACCATCTCGTGTCATTCACCATCATACACCTCCAGAAGTAAACACTTTTTAATCAGTTAGAGTTGTAGCCTTCAAAACTTTTCTGTCCCTTTCTGTACAAAGTAGTTAATAAAATCCTAACAGTTTGTAAGTGGTGTGTGTTTGTTGTATTTAATTAAGAGGGAGAGAGTAACTTGACAAGCTGCTTCTAAAATTTATATAGAATGAAAGTGCAAAGGACCAAAAATAACCAAGTTACTCTTGAATATGAAAAAGAACAAAGTGAGAAGATCTGCTCTATAAATATGAAGACTTAAAATGATATAAAGTAGTACATTATTGGCACAAAAATTAACACTTAGATCAATGAAACAGAATAGAAGCCTAAAAAAAATGCCACCACATATGGACACCTGATGTATGACAGAGTTTGTACTACACTAGTGAAGTTCTTTTTTAAATAAAAGATGCTTATTAGAGACCTGAATATGAAAGACAAAATTATAAAACTTTTCTAGTTTATATGGGACAAAATTTTCATTATGCTAGATTAGAGGAGGATTTCTTTTTAAATTTAATTGAAGTAAAATTCACATAACATGAAATTCACTATTTTAAAATGTACAGTTCAGTAACTTTTAGTACATTAACAATGTTGTGCAACCATCACATCTATCTAATTCCAAAATATTTTATCACCCCCCCAAAAAACACCACACCCATTACAAGGTTACTCCTTGTAACCTGCCCCCCATCCCCTAGCAACCGCTAATTTATTTACTGTCTATGTATTTACCTACTCTGGACATTACATATAAATGGAATCATATAATATGTGGCTTTTTATGTCTAGCTTCTTTCACTTCACGTCATGTTTTCAAGGTTTATCCATGTTATAGCATGTATCAGTACTTCTTTTTGTGGCTGTAGGTATTCCATTGTGTAGATGTGCCACATATTGTTGAACCATTGATCAGCTGACAGACATTTCAGTTCTTTCCACTTTTTGGTTATTAAAATAATGCTGCTATGAATATTCGTGTACAAGTGTCTGGTTGAACACTAGTTTTTGATTCTCTTGGGTGTACACCTGGGAGTAGAATAGTTGAGTCGTATGATTCTATGTTTAACTTGGTGAGGTACCGCCAAATTGTTTTGTGCAGAGCTGCACCATTTTACATCCCTAACAACATGTATGAGGTTTCCAGTTCCTCTACATACTCAACAGCATTTGTTATTTTCCTTTTTTTTTTAAATTATAGCCATTGAGTGAGTGTGAAGTGGGTATCTCATTGTGATTTTGATTTGTAATTTTCCCTAATAACTAGTCATAATGAACATTTCTTCATGTTGCTTGTTGGCCATTTGTATATCTTTTTCAGAGAGATGTCTGTTCAAGTCTTTTGCTCTTTTCTTAAAATGAGGAGGATTTTGGGGTTTTTTTCTTTTTAATGGATTCTCTTTTGTTGTTGAGTTGAAGTATTCTTTATATATTCTGGATTTGGGACCATTATCAGATATGATTTGCAAATACTTTCTCCCATTCTATTGGTTATCTTTTCAGGTTTTCTTGATACTGTCCTGTGATGCACAGATCTTTTTAATTTTGATGCTGTCCAATTTGTCTAAATTTTCTTTTGTTCCTTATGCTTTTGATATCATATCTAAGAATTAATTACCAAATCCAAGGTAAAGAATATTTGTTCCCCTATTTTCTTTTGAGATGCTTATCATTATAGCACTTACATTTACATCTTTGATCCATTTTGAGATAATGTTTGTATATGGTGTGAAGTCAGGGTAGAACTTCACTTTTTTTAATGTAAATAACCAGTTGTTCTCTCCAATACTTGATATTTTATAACATCTCCTTGAAAATTTCTTCTCTTTTTCCTTTATGTTCACTGTCTTGATTTTCCTCTTTTGTCTCTAACAATTTGTTAAAGATAGGGAGACTAAATAGTTTATCTCCAAACTGAAATACTTTTGAAAGTGAGAAGATGTGCTATTTAGTAATTGAACCAGGATAATAGAATAAACCCAGATTATTCAAGGAAAACTAGGATATACCATCATACTATTAACAGATTTTTCCTCTTTTTCTTTTATTAACCCCTTACTATGATTATCACCCAGAATTTTTAACTGGCATCTTTTGTTCTTTTAACATGCTCTTCTTGGGTGACCTGAAACATTTGCATGACTGAAACTGTCACCTCCATTATAATTCCTAAAGTATATATCCAATCCCTAACTTTCACCTGAGCTCCAGACTCATATTTCCAACAGCTTATTGGGCATTCCCAAACCAGTAACCCAAAAGTATGTACTTGAGAATTTAAATGTATCTTCTCCCTCAAATATCTTACTCTTTTGTTTATTGGAGGAAGGGGAGAGTGTGTGTGAGGCTGGAAATATATATCACACATGCATACTACTTTGTGCAGATGCTTCGTTAGGTACATATAATAGTAGCAAAAACACAGTTTCAACGTCGTGACAATGCATTCTGGTGTGGGAGTTAGACATTTATCCAACTAGTACACATATAAATGTAGCTTAAGTGTGGGTAATTTCTGTGAAGGGGAGGAACATAATATTATGTGAAGCATAATAGGGGCAATTTGACCTTTTTAACACATGGCCTTTTTTATTAGACATAAGTGGCAACATATAGCTCTTCTAAATTAGACTACCTCCATTTAAAAAAATATCGCAATTCAGTATTCAGTTGTACTAGCAAATGGAACCATTTTTCTTCTCAGAATTTCCACTGCTTTTCTTCCTAGTTACGGAAATATTGTTCATAAATCACACGGTAGTAATACCTTTGGTATTGAGGATGTAGGTATGGAAACTAAATAAAAGAGCTTCTAAGGAAATAGTATTATGTCCTTTACAAGAAAGAGATGATGTGTAAGATAAGGAGCACCTTTCTAGTGACAAAGTCTGACTACCGCTTTCTTCTTTTCACATAGTTAGTGATATTTGTTGACTAAATGTGAATTGCTTATTCTTTTATCATGTGTATTTCCCCTCTTGTGCACAAAACTTCTAAGTAGTCAAGTTCTCATTGAGATTTGAAGACCTATGCCCACTAGCACTAGTCCAGAACACGAACTAAATTATGCATAGCCCTAAATAATAGATTTTATAATCAATATAAATATTAATAATTAAAAAATAAGAAATCCACCTTATTTTTCCTTATGTTTGTGTATTTTTACTAATAGTGATACTCAATTTCATCAATCTTTACCATGTTGATAGGCATAACATAATAACGAGTAATAGCCAATAATTATTAAGTATTTAATACTTGGAAGTGCTAGGTAATTTGTATACATTATCTTGTTTAACTTTCAGCAGTAATTGAGTGAGGTAAATGCGATCATCCACATATTTTAGTTAAAGGAAATGACAATTTAAAAAATATATACATTGGCAGTGGCCATTGCTACTCAGGCTGTCAGGCAGCCCGCCCCAAATCCTGCCACCCCCAGCCCCACCCCAACACTCCCATGCTCCGTGTGAAGCCCTGGCCCCCACACCAGGGCATTAAGAAAATACACACACACACACGCGCACACACACACACTGAGAAGAGTTTAATAAAGGACTATGATATTTACAAGATCTTGGGCAGATTTTTAAGGAAAGCAACAAAACATAATGCAGCACCCTGGGACTAGTAATAATGGGAACTATTAAAAGTTGGAGCAAAGGAGGGAGCTGTTATTGGAATCCAGAAAAAAAAGCTGTAAGCAAAGATCATCTGATAGAGGCTGTGATCATAACCAACTGATGGTGACCTGGTAGAGAAGGAGCCAGGGGAATAAATATCAGACCTTACTGTCCTCCAAATCTTTAGTTTCCTGACAGTGCCTCCCATTAGCTGAACCCAACTAGAGACCAGACAGCACAAAACAGCTAGCTTATTGATTATGTCTATACATGTTAGTTTGGAGCAGAGAGGGTGAAGAAGGGTGGACCATGACTCTGAAAGGGAAATGAAAAATATCTATGAATTAAATAACTATTAAATGGCAGACCTAGTACATGAATGCCAAACACTTTGCTCCTCACTACAATACTATACTGCCTCATTAAAAAAAAAAGCTCTGATGAAATATCATTTGACATAAAAAAAATACTTTACATCTGAAGGTTTCTACTCAATCTTAAATTATTGGATGCTTTTATATGTAATGGTAAATGAGACCAAATATCTGATTGCTGAGCAGCAGAGAATGCCCACCCCAAAAAAAAATGTTTGCTGTAGGCAGTGATTTTACATATTGTTGGTATTTTCAGAATATTGAACCATACTTGTTCCTCTTGTTCAGATTCCCGACTCCATCATTTCTCGTGGTGTTCAGGTGCTCCCACGAGACACAGCCTCCCTCAGCACTACTCCTTCAGAATCGCCTCGTGCTCAGGCTACATCTCGCCTTTCTACAGCTTCCTGCCCAACACCAAAAGTAAGTATAGTTCCTTGGCACCTTACACTTGCTCTACTGTGTGAATCTGGGAAAACTAACCAATGTTTCCCTTTGCCTGTCGAGGTTGGATTGCATGCAAGATAATACAATGAAAAATGAATGGGCTATCCGATAGTTACTGCCTAATGTATCACAAATTGTCATATAAGGCTAACAGTAGAACAATAGAAATTTCATGCAAAATGCCTACTACATTATAGCTACAGGTATCACTTTCTGTAGCTCCTGTTTCTTTGTTGTAGACTTGCTATTTTTTAGCATGCTCATTAGTATAGATATGAAGTTACTTGTTTATGCAGAGGATGAATGTATTTCTGGCCAATAAACAGCAAGATTAACAAAATAAAATAATGTCACAAAAGGGATATTTTTTTAAACTTGGTCCAGGCTGGGGTAGCTCCCTGCTCTAGTATCATTCCAGATTTTTTCAAACATATTCAACTTGGAATGTTGCTGCCTAATATTTGGAAACAAATCTAAATTGATTAGAAAGTTTTAATGCCAACCTTTGGGGGAGGGAGGCTGTATCTTAGTATTTATTTTTTATAATTTTTCCCAAGTAAAATTATATAAGGGAATGGGGAAAGTATTAGACATTTATTTGCTGCCTGACATCTTCATGTGTATGATAAATTAAGTAGCAAACCTGATTATGACTGATACTTTCTCCTGGAATATCCCTTCCCGGGTAAAGTTAGTCTTCTGTGCTTTTCAAGTTTTCTGTGGGATGGATCTAATCTTAGCATCAAAAGGTTAGCAGTAACATTCCTTCTTATTTGATAAGACGTGGTGTTAAGATATCAGGCTATATACTACATTTATTCCAGGGATTTGCAGGTAATTTTTCAAACCATGGCTTTTTCTCTGTCATCAAATTAAGGACTTATACAGCTGTCTTCCTCAATTCCAACTTTTCTATGAGTTTTATGAATGTCATCATTGGATTTGACTAGAAGCAATCTCAACCAGTTCTTGATATGTGTAGTGTAGTTGCTTTTGCATTCCATGGTACAGCCTTTTAAGCAGTCTTCAGTGTTACTGTTGTATATCATTGTTTTTAGACCTGTGTCAAAAATAACTGATATTAATTTTATAGCCTAAAAAAATTGAAGTCCTAAATCTTCAATGAAGAAAAGGTGTAAGAACATTCTAGACATAAAACATATGTTATACATTTATATTTTGGGTGCCAGTCAGCTACATGGAGTTCACAAGTTTTAAATTGGGTAGAAGAATCTCGTCCATGTCTTATAAATTTTTTGAACAGAATAATTTATGTTTTGATTTAATTAAATTCTAACTATACAAGTTGTACTCATTTATTAAACCTAGGAGATAATTAAAGCTAAATGTTAAGTCCACTATAAAAGTTTCCTCATTCAACAGATATTAAGACCTTAATGATGGGAATACAGAATTATCTAAGACACAAGTATTTTTTTTCCTTACTGATACACTGTGTACATGAATATTTTAAGCTACATTTAATTATGCATAGTAATTCTTGAGCCTTTTTAAAACTTTGTAATTACATTTTAATTACAAAGGGAATATTAAATACAATTTTTAAAATCACTTTGTATTTCCACATTTATTAAGTTAATTCACTTATTGCAAAACTATAGGAGAACAAGAGGCTTGTCTTGATATTTTTCCCATAGTTAACATTTAGATGTTCAAATTGACAGTGAATTCAAATAAATGGTATATTTGAATATCTTTTTTTGAGGAATTTTTTTCCTGTATTTTTATCTAGAAATAAGATTCTGTTCCTTTTAGATAATTGTTACCAGCACCAGAATGTAACCTCAAAGATAAAATTATTACTTTGGTGTAATTTTTAAATTAAACTTTTAAGGTTGAATACTAATATAATTAAAAATGTTTGAGTATTAATTTTTTAAAAAAAGAGTGAAGAAAGTCAAATTAATTTCCTATTTAAAGTCTCAAATTATAAGATTGCTTAATGTAACCTAAACTAGATGCCTTTATATGTACTTTTATATCAGTGATAGGTATAATGTCTGCCCTCATGGAATTTACAGTTTAGTCAATGGTATACTGAAATAAATAGATACATTTTAAATAAATTTATTTAGAATAACTAAAAATCATAATAAATATATAATGATAAAATGAAATCCATGCTAATAAGAAATGAAAATGTATAGTGATAGTAATAAGAGGGAAATCTCACTTAGGATGATCAGAGGAGGCCTAGAGTAACATTTCACCAGGGACATGAAGGATTAGTATAAAAACAAACCTTTTGCTAGGTAGAGGTTGTGAGAATTATATTCAGCAATAATAACCACCATCAATCAGTTGTCACCAATCAAGAACTCTCAGACTAAAACCTCACTTTTACATAAATAGCCTAAGTCAGTGACTTCAAAATCTAACTTCAGATGTCAGTTCTTTTCATTTTAAATAATGGTTTGTTTGTTTGTTTTGCCTTTGCCCACTGAGTCACATTTCAAGGCCATAGGATTTAGCAACTAAATTTGTTCTAGGTAATTTTTTTAATTTTAATTTTTTAGCATTAAAATTTAAAGCAGAGAAGAAATCAAAAAGTAAGTCAGGTTTTCTAGCATGCACAAGGTCCTGGGTTCAATCCCAATACTTACACTAAAAACAAATAAATAAAAACCTAATTACTTTCCTCCCTCCCCGGCAAAAAAGTAAGTCAGGTTTCTAATTCAAGATATGGGTAAATGATGATGTTATTAACTATATTAAGGAATAAAAAAGAAAAAGCAAAGGAGAGTTAATACCTTTTGGTTTTGAATGTGTTTAGTCTAAGATATGTACGAGACATCCCAGGAATGATTTCTAGCACAAAATTAGAACACAGGTTGAGTTTGACATTGTTACTGTTACTGTTAACTGCATTTTGGGTGTGGTATTTATAATTTAGTACATATTACTGTTGGCCAAACCCCATAGAAATCCCTCTTCTGAAGATTAGGCAGGCAGTCTGTCTTGTGTAGACATATATGTGCAAATAAGTTTTCTTTACGTTGGGAATACAACACAGTCTTGAGAAATCAGCACTAGAAAGAGCACTTGACTTGATAATAGAAAACCTGGATTCAAATGCTGTTTTCTCTATTTAATAACTATACTGCATTAAGCAAGTTATTCCACTTCTTTGAGCTTTGTGTCTAGGATGAAACTGCTGATCCTTGCCTCCCCAGCAGAGTTATTAATTTATTAAATAAGTCTTTGCCTAGTGCTCAAAAAGCATTGGTAAACAAATAACATTGTTCTTGGCTTTATAAACAGATAAAACAGGCAACTACAAATTATAATAGTGCTATGATTTATCAGCAGGAGTACAGAATACTCTTGAATAATCATCAGAAACACTTAACATAGTCTTTGTGAAAACACAGGAGGGTTAAATAACCAAATTATGATTCAAAACTAACAGTTCTAAGCTTTCCCTGTGTAACTTTTTATCACTGGGCAGTTTTTAAACTGAAAGACTTGCTGTCCATTTGCGTCTATGCATCTATTTCTTTTAGGTCAACAGCTATAATATTAAACATTATTTTGATTTCACATTTTGTATGCTCACTGCAATATAATGTCTTAGATTGTGCTTTGATCCTTTTAGATTTTCCTGGTATAGTGAGAACAAGATCTATAAGATAAACCATTTGGATTTCCTTTTTAGTATGCTTGTCACAATCTAATGAAGACAACAAGATGTTATCTTTTTAAACAATTCTTCATTGAATGGCATTGTCTCTAGCAAAAAATTTATTTGGTGAAATGACATAATATTTTATTTTAAATGGGGAAAAATAATTTCTTTTATATCAGATATTTTCTTTTAATGAAATCTGACTGAAGTGACAAATGCTTTTCACTCTTCTTACTTGAAGACACAATGAATTATAGCTTAAGACCAAACTTGGAATTTTAGTCTTTCGTTGCTCTAAGTAAACTAGTGCCTAAGCCAAAAAAGTCTGGTATGTAGATTCTATGAGTGGGCAATATCTAGAGGACTCAAGTTCTAAAATGGTGATAGTCTCCCACAAGTGGTTTGCTAAAAGAGTAATTCTATAACATAAATTCTGTTTTAAAGTGAGCGTGATTCACAACTGAAATGAGTTCTGATTTTCACTTATGAAAGGCAGCTGCGTCTCTATTAGAATCAAGAGGCTTGAGGTGGAGATTAATGGCAGAACAAAAAAGAAAAAAATACAAACTTTCAGTTTACCATTCCACATGGATGTTATTAAAATAGGGAAAATTTCTAAAGACCAATTCAATTTTCCTTTTATTTCCTAAGCATCTGAAGTTTGACTTAAATAAATAAATAAATGTAGTCTCTTGTTATATATTCCCTTGTACCTCAAAGTTTAGAATAGAATTTTGTGCCCAGATTAACCAGCAAGTTATTTTTTTTCTCTTAGAAATAAAATATAAATACTATCTAGCTAGTTAAACTAAAGTTTATAAAATAATTCAAAATGATGCATTTTGAAATATCTTTATGAAGGATGTGTTCATTTAATAATTAATAGTGTCTAATCTTATATTCAAACAAAATACAGGATTATGACTTCTCTTATAGCTTCTCTAGTTGTCCTTTGAACAAAAGAATTTAGATTACTCTGGATAAAGAATAAACTATTTTCATAACTCACAGTTTTAATGTGAATGTCTGAAAGGTAGTGTGATTTCATTTACATATAAAAATGGCATTATTGATCCAGTATCAGGGTAATATTTTCTCTGAGATTTTTCTCCTAGTGCTATTAGCTTTAAAAAACTATTTTATATTATCATCACTTTCCTTTGTGAACACCAGGGTGATTGTGTAATATGGCTAGTTCATTGATTCTCAAGTCTGTGGTGAGTCTCATGAAGTTGCTAAAATTCTGGCTTAGATCAGGGCCCTAACTGGGGCCTACAGATTATTTCCCACTGTTTTTAAGGGCCTAAATGAAATCAGTTAGACTGTACTA